GCTTATTTCTCCTTAGTGTATACCTAATGACAAAATTTCGGCATGGTTTCAGATTGGGAGAGTTTCTAGGTTATTATATGCAGGTTTTCAGTCCTAGGAGTAAAGGTACTCGAATTGTCCTTGTTAGTGCCCCCTTGGGTTGCTAACCCTCAATCCTAGTCTCTCATAGACTAAAGTGGATCGAGTTCAATTCGAGGGGATACATTTCTCTATGCCTGACACGAAGAATAAATTCTTACGAAGACATAGAGCATATGAACCCGAAAGTTACTTGCTAGGTCTGACACGGAGAATAAATTCTCACGAAGACGTCGCTTTCACTCCACTTAAAGGGACAACTCAATTATAGAGCTTTATGTAATGCAATGCAAGTGTTGTGTGTGAGGAGAAATGTTCAAACCTTTGACAGAAAATAAATACTGAAATAAACATAAATATATATAAAAATAAAAAATTTGAAAAGAACGAATTAAAAATTAAATATATGAACTTTTAATTTTTAATTAATAGAGACAATTTATAATTGATTTTTAAAAGTTTGACGGTCCCCAGCAGAGTCGCCAAGCTGTCGTAACCGGTTTTCGTCCGGGCACGAAATATTTATTTGGCGGGGAAATTAATGTTAATAAATAATTTTGAAAATAATTGGGAGTCGCCATCGGCCTTTTGGATCAGGTAGGTCGAATACCTAAAAATTATTTTTTTTTTAAAAAGAGTTTTAATAAAACATCAATTTAAAAAAATAAACTGATCTGCGTTTATAACCAAAAATTCGTTCTTTTAGTAATAAAAAGGGATTCGTGGTCGGTTACGTTTAGGGAAGGATTAGCACCCCTACAACGCCCAAAATTGGTACTTTTTAATTATCAATTGTCTCTATTATTAAAATTTTAAAAAATTCAAAAATATATTTAATTTATAATTCTATTCTTTCAAAATTATAAAAAATATTTATTTATTTAAAAATATCCGAAAAGAACTTCTAGGTGCCTTAAGACAGTTCTTTTCTTTGATATTGATAAGTATGAATTTAAATAATATTGTTTAATTTTTAATTTTAAAATATCAGAATAGAACATCCAGTTGTATTAAGACTGTCCTTTTCTTCGATATGGAAATAAATAAACATTGTTAAATAAATAATGTATATATTTATAATATAGTAAAACAATAATTAAAGTAATGATTGAAAATATATTAAAATAATAAAAATTAAGTTAAAACATAACTAAACAATGATTAAAAATAAATAAAATAATAATGTAAAATTATGAACATAACCTGAATCATCATAAATAAAATTACTAATAGTGTAATTAATCCTTAATTAATTAATCAGTGATTAAATAAATTTATCACAGTTTAAAGGCTCTATCTCGAATAAATAAAACTTTAAGTGCTAAAATGTAATTTAGCCTTATTTAATTAATCGGATTAAAATAAACGTTAATAAATTATAAGGTACTAAATCAGTTATTTACCCTAAATATATATATAAACTGATAATGACTAAAATGTAATAAAATAAAATTGAATGATATGATTAAAAGAATTAAAACTTGCTTTTAATGACTAATTTGTAATGTTACAAACTAGGAGTGACTGCGGAAAGGGTTTACCCATGATGGAAATTACACAGATACCCTCCTCCTTAAACGACGTCGCACGGATGAGGGTTTATAACCCTGAATGCCTGGCCCGAAGGGCCAAGCTTCTCATTTGCCTCATTTCTTTCTTTCTCAAGACGAGAGAACCAGAGTTCTCTCTGGTTTCTCTCTAGTTTCCCTCGCCGGAGGGAAACCGGCGACCATGGGCCACCGTATTCCGCCGCCGGCCACCGCCGTCGGCCACCGTAACGGTGGTCGGAATTCACAAAAAATACCCCCAAAACGTAGATCTAAATGCCCTAAGACTCCTAATCGGAGTAAATCTACGAAAATACCTTCGGTATTTTCTGTTCTCCGGCGATGTTTAGTGCTTCCGACGGTGGTCAAGGCTCCAAGGGTAAGTTTCTTTTCTTCTTTCTTGTTTTCTATTTTTTTTTCTGGTTGTTGGTTGCTGTTCGTTTGTGTTCTTTTCCTCTTGTTTTTTTTCGTTCTGTTTTTTTTTCGTTCTCTGCCGTCTGTGGCTGTCTCCTCTTCCTTCTTTCGCAGGTATGGTGGCTTTTATAGCCACCACGAGGTTCTGTTTGGACCGGTCCCGAGAGGGATGTCTAGGTGAGTCACCATAGCTATGCTGGTGACTCACCATGGAGCTCGATTTGGGCTGCCATCTGGTGTTCTGGAATCTACGGCGGCGAGGTGGCGTGGCAAAAGCAGCGTCGGCAGCGACTGGTTGGACCATCTGGCAGTGGAGGCGTCGGCAGCAGCGTCTGGAAGCTGGAGAGGCAGCTTGAGCCCTCTGGAAGCGGCGGCTGGGAGCTAGGGTTTGAAAACCCTAGCTGAAATCTTACATATTGTTTAGGGTTTCTGGTTGGCTGGACCGGTTCTGGTTGGCTTGTAACTGGGCCGGTCCAGTTGTAATTATTTATTAAAATAATAATAATATATAATAATAATAATATATAATATTAATAATAATAATAATAATAATAAATAATTATAATTATAATAATAATAATAATACTAATAATAATAATAATAATTTCAATAATAATAAATTTAAATGAAAAAAATGATGTCTACACTCTCCATAGTGGCGAGCAGGCAGGTCTGGCGATCGACATAGGACACAAGGTGTGCATGTGGTATTTTTGACGTAGGATTTTGATCCAAATAATCATTGGGACGAGAGATCAAAGCATGACATATTTTTCACATGAAGGTCGTGTTGTGTTCACATGTCCAAACCGCCTTTCCGTATCGGTTGGCAGAGAGTCGACCAGTTAACAAAAGAAATCTGGCGCCTCTCAGAGGAAGAGCCATAAATAAACTGTCGGATGATTTTATCGATCTCATTACAGATGCCAATTTGGAGGCAAGTAGTCTGCTTGAAATAAATCGGTATTGCCGCCAAAACTACTTTAGCAAGAGTGATCTTGCCTGCTAAGGAAAGCAATTTGGCAGACCACCTATTTAGCCTTTCTTTCATCTTATCCAGGATACAGTCAAAGTCAGAACAACGAAGTCTTGCATGAAAGACTAGCACCCTCAAATATTTCCCGAGCGACTCAACTTGCTGAAACCCCAGGAAAGAGCATATAGATTGCTTCAAATAAGGCTGTGTTTGGGGAGAATTAAATGCTTGTCTTTCTGGAGTCAACTTTGTGCCCCGAAGAAGCACCGAAGTCAGCTAAGGTGGAAGCAATAGGGCGAGCTTGGGTCGAGTCTGCTTTACTATAAATGATGAGATCATCTGCAAAAAAAATGTGAGACAGAGGTGTACCATTCCTTGCTAAAAAGAAAGACGACCAGGCGCCAGAAGTGACCAGGTTGTTTATCCGTTGTCCGGGGCGTTCCATGACAAGGACGAAGATGTACGGAGAAAGAGGATCACCCTGACGAATACCCTTTCCAGGTCGAAAGGAATCCGTAAAGGAGTCATTCCATTGAATCTGCATGATGGAAGAGGATACACAGTGCATAATATTCTAAATAAGGGAATTAGAGAGCCCAAAGTCCACAAGCGTGTCTCGGATGAAATCCCATTTCACTCTGTCAAAGGCCTTTTCAAGGTCGACCTAAATAGCCATCCACCCCTTCATTTTTTTTTTGGTTACGCGTGGAAAGAACAATATCCTGGTTAAGAATAATATTTTCTATGATCGATTGTCCGGAAATGAAACTTGTTTGAGTCAGTTGGAGGAGACAAGACATAATCTGCTTGAGTCTCCTCACAATGATTTTTGTGATTAGCTTGTACAAAACAAAGACTGATAGGGCAGAAGTCTGTCATCGATTGGGGAGAATCAATCTTCGGGATGAGAACAAGTGTGGTTTGAGAAAGAGAAGCTTCTATCATTTTGCAAAATCTTCATGGTAATTAAAAAAATCAGTATAATTATATATTTGATCCTCAATACTTGTATATTCGATTAATTTGGTTCTGATTTTAATTTTATTAATAAAATCATTCAATCAGGAAGTAACACGTGTCAGCATATAATCATGACCCATATCACGATTTTAATATATTTTATTTCTAAAACTAGTGGTCTGTATATTTAACAACTTAGTGCTTGTGAAATGGGAAGATTTAAATATATATAAAACAAAGATTTTGACTTGTCCATTCGTTTAGCTTGCGTGGCTGTGAATCCCTACGCATATATAAGTGACATCTGCAGTGCATTTAATTTAAGTATGTAAAATGAGTTATATAAGCATATTCTTTGTCACCAATACATTAAATATGGTTCAAATGTCTGATGATAATGCTTAGATGATAAATGTTTCGTGTTGCTTTTGCAATTGGTGTCGATAGTGCTGCTGGCGGTTGTCTCTTAAAGTTAAAGTTAAATTTAGGGTAAATTACACATTTAGTATCTAAACTATCAATTTTGGTTTGTTTTGGTACCTAAATTTTTAATTTTTTTTCAAAACCATGCTAACGTCTAGTTTTCATTTCACTTTAGTACCCTGCCGTTAAAAAACTTAACGCTTTAGTACCTAAACTATCAGTTTTAGCCCGTTTTAGTACCTAATCTTTCAATTTTTTTTTAAAACTTGATGTTAAATTTTGAGCAGAGTACTAAAATGAGATAAAAACAAAAGTTTTTAACGACATGTACTAAATTGAAACTAAACTTTAAGTATGTTTTGAAAAAAATTGAGAGTTTAAGTATTAAAATGAATTAAAACTGATAGTTTAGATACTAAACGCATAATGTTCCCTGAAATTTATTCTCTTATTGACATGCACAACTAACGACGTCGTATCCTAACAATACATTATAGGAACCAACTTTTATTGAGTGATGAGAAAAATGTGTATGAAGAAGAGCTATCTTCCTGAGCAGGGGAAATTGAACATTATGGTTTCTGATCATCCCTTAAGAGGCCTTGCTCTTCACCTCGACCCGTTGATAGTCTCGGTCGTTGTGAGTTCCGTCTGTTTCGATCTCTCCGGGAAGCTCTGTTCGAAATCCGATTTGCTCGGTTCTTCCTTGATTCCACTTTCCCTGTACTTGAAGTAGAGTCCAAGTTGTAGGACGCCTAAGGGGAGACCAACCAGATTTGGGGACTGCCATGTAATTCACAAGATTCAGTAAGAAACATGCTCTAGTGTTTAGTCCAATTGTGTCAATAGGTCATAAATTGCATGTACAAACCGCAAGAATGAGGTCATGGCTCAGTAGTCCATAAGCCAGCCAAAGCACACTTGCTAAGAAGGAGAAGAAGGATAAATAGAATGGCATGAACTCCACGCTCTTTGTCACTATCACTTGTTTCTGCAATAACAAACATGATAAATCCAATTACATTGTCGAATATACAGGACACTATCGCACGGTGGCCGGAGATGGCTTACCACAACCACGAGTGGAGCGGCATACATGGCCACGGATGCCACCAATCCAACCGTCCCGACGAAAAGTTTCCGACGACGATGGTCACGGAAAACGTAAGCCGAGATTATTGCAGTGGTGGAGCACAATATGATTACCACCGTTGCTATAACACCGGCTTTAACCTGCAGTCTACTCTTCAATCAACCCCATGCAGGCAAAACAGCTTGTAAAACACAAAAATCAGAGTTAAGAGAACTTGCCTTTGCTTTGGTTGGAGCAAACAAAAGATAGATGAAAACAAAGGATAACTCTAATACGATCCCTAAGCCATTGATGGTGACGACCGGGAAGTTCTCCCAACTATAACTCACAACCGGCGATCCATACAAAGTATAAATGAGGCAGTTCGACAAGGCAACAATGTACGGAATGCATGAGAATCCCTCGGTGCTTCTCTTCCTTATCACCCTTGAAAAAAGTCAAGCTGCAAAAAACAGTAGAAAAAAACAACAAACATTTGTTCATCATCACCAAATATATAAAAGTGAGCTATGAAAATGTGTCGAGTGTAATGGAACAATGGCATTACATTGGTGCTGCATAGAGCAACAAAGATGATGCATTGCCTGCAAGGAAAGCCATGCAGATTCTTGTTTATAACAGCTAAGATTTCTGCATAATATATAAAACACAGAAAATTAAATTGGGAAAAAAATTAGAAGAAACCTATGACTCCAACAGCCAAACGAAGTCTATCACCCATGATTTTGGCCTTGGACAAGAAACCAGTCCAAGGGAAAGGGCTTTAAACCAATTATATTGATTTAGTAAACTTGAGAGGATATAAATACAAGAGACAGGAATGATACAAAATTGATAGAAGAATAGCAAGTGCTGCCTACGACTTTTACACAAACTTGTGGATGCCAACATTAGCTTGCTGCCATATCTTCTGATTTTATTAACAATAAACAAGAAAAGCTTAATTGATTTGTTAGGTTTGATGTGATTTATTATAGAATGATTAACTTTCGATTTTATTGAGGTTTAATTATAAAATAAGTGACCAGGTTATACTATTTTTTTCAAATAAGTGTCCAATTTTTTTTTGAATCATTCAAGTGTCTAAGGCTACAAATGTTATCGTTTTAGGTGTCCGGGAGGTCACGGCCGTTTATAAATTATGTTAAGAGACATGTGTCACGTCATGGTAATTTTAAAAGCTTTTTTAAAAAATTATTATGTTTAAAAAACTTTATTTTTTTCCTAAAATCACATAAAGCCCTAAATCCCTAACCCTACCTCCCTTGTGGGCCATGGTTGTCATCATCGACGTCGTCTTTTCTATCTTACTAGTTGTTGTCGTCGTGCGCGTCGTTGGACCGCCTGAATGTCACGAATTTGGGTGTTTGAGTTCGTCGGAGACACGGTTTTGGATCATGATTTTGTCGTTTCCTTCATTGGAGATGCGACGTTAATGGTCGGGTTTGGCTTGTCGTAGGGTGGAGATTCTGATGGAGATTCGATCGACGTCAAACATCACAACAGATGTGGGCTTAGGGATTGAAATTAGAGTTATCAAAGTTAAGATTTTTTTAAAGTTTTTCAGAAGTTTTGGGTACTTTTAAATTTAAATACAAATTTTAAAATTACCAAAACATGACATGTGTCACATAACGGTAGAATTTAACGGTCAGTACAACTTGGACACCTAAAGTGATAAAGTGGCACCTAGATGATTCAAAAAAAGTTTGGATACTAATTTGGAAAATACGATATTTTACACACTTATTTTATAATTAATCATTTTATTGGCATGGGTAAGCCTCAATAACATTGAAAAAATCTTATATGAAAAAAAGAAAATAATTTGGTGATAGTTTGTATGCTTAATACTAAAATAAGTGCTAAAATTATACTGTTTTTTTTCAAATAGGGTTTTAAACTATTTTTTACCCATCCAGGTGTCTAATGTTACAAACGTTACTATTTTAGGTGTCTGGGCTGTGAACGACATTAATTTCCCTGTTAAGTGACACATGTCACACACAATATGGTGATTTTGAAATTTATTTTTTTAAAATATTATATTTATAAAAAACTCTAATTTCTCTTAAATTATAAAATAAACCCAAAATCCTTAAAATTCCTGAATCCTAACCTTAACCCACCGCCATCGACGTAGTCACTGTCATCCTCCTAGTCATATGCGACTTTAGTTGTTGCCGATTTGCTGTCGGAATCACGTGGGATCACAATTTTCATCATAGGATTCGTGGGATATAAAACGTCGATTTATCGTCGATCAATCACGATTTCAAAGGGGTTTTAGTCGCCGGGGTGAGGGAAGGTCGGGTGGAGCTTCGTTGATGGTAAAGGATGGCGGATGGCGGATGGCGTGAGTTTAGGGGTTAAAATGAAGGTTTTTAAAATTTTTGGATTTATTTTTCAGTTAACACTAATAGCAATTTTGCAATAATACTAGTATATTTCCAACAACAATAAGGTCAAAGCGGAAGCATATGTTTGTATGTTTTGCCCTGTTTTGAGTGGGGGATGTCACCAGCACTTCCATTATCCACTTGATATACTAATGTCCATTACCCTCTTTAATTTGGTGGGAAAATATCAATTATTATACTAATTTCCATTACCACTCTTATTTGGTAGTAAAATATAAATGGTTTCGCGGATTATAATATTCGATGTAATATATAATTGGATTAATATATTTTTTAAAATATATTTTATTTAGATTTTTAAATATTTTTAAGATCAATTTAAGTGTCTAATATTATCAATGTTATTGTTTAGATGTCTCGGCCATCATGGCCATTAAAAAAATTTGTTAATCTACATGTGTCACATTTATAAGATTTTATTTAAAATAAAAAAATTATAATTATAATTTTATAAAAACCCTAATTTTGCTCCCCTCTACCCACGGTTGTCGCCCTCCTTTGTCGTTGTTGCTCGCCCTTTGCCATCCCTTTGCTCGTCCTTAACCTTCAACGCGATAACAACCTCCGATGTAGGCAACAATCATCTGCGTTTATATTTTATTCATCTACATATTTATTTTTGGATAAAGTACAAAAATGGTCCCTTGACTATAAGATGTTACTTTATTGAGTCCCTCGACTATCAAAAGTTATAAAATGATTCCTTAATTATAAGGTATTGTTTCAAACTCGTCCATTTTAAAAAAAAAAATGATGATCGTATGAGTTGGACTTTAAGTTGCTGATTGAGATATGATAAAATTTGATCTCATAATCTTAAAGTGGGATGAGATTTTATCATATCTTATTGAACAAGTTAACTTTTAGCTCAGACAACCGTAAATTTTTTAACGAAAAACGACTAGTTGGAACATATGACTAGCCGGTGACCATTTTATAACTTTTAATAATCGTTGGACTCAACAAAGTAATACCATATAATCGAAAGATTATTTTATAATTTTTAATAATCTAGAAACTCAATAAAAAATTACTCTATAACATGGATTCAAATAACGGTTGCAATCGCGTTTTCGGTTGCATCGCATTTATTACGATTGTAGATATTGCGAGCTCTATTACGGGTATCATGATCATATAATAACGGTCGAGGAAAATACTACTACCGCTATATCACGGACGCTATTGTGATCCCAGACTGCTATTTAAATCCTTGATGTATAATTAAAGGACTATTTATATAGCGTAAAGTGGAATTAGTTTGATTGGCTGAACCACTTCAGTGAATAAATATTTTCTCTCCATTCATTAGAAATATGTATGGTGCACTGTAGACCGTAGTGTATCTGTTGAGATGACAGATTGAATATAGTAATTCAATATCATTCTACCAATTATTTTATAATATATATAAATAAAGAAGGAATCTTTATTTTTTCAATAAATATTTTTTATTTTTTATTTTTAGTCTTTTTCATATATATATCCTTTAGTTTTATATAGATTTAAGACCGTTGGATGAGTGAAAATAGATAACACATATTAATAGTAGGATATGTGAAGATATTCACTTAAAAAATAAGGAGTCAATCTGAATCATCTATTTTCACTCATTCAACGCTCTTAAATCTATGTAAAACTAAGAAGTTATATATATATATATATATGATCACTTATATTATGTAAAACTCTTTTAGTTTTACATCTTTTTAGGATCATTGGATTGAGGGAAATCAAAGGGTAAGATTAACTCCTTATTTATTAAAGTGATCATCTTCTAGTTTTATATTGTTAATCTCAACCTTTAATTTCTCTCATCCAATGATCCTAAATCTGTGTACAACTAAAAGAGTCTTACACAGATTTAAGACAGTTGGATCAACGAAAATAGATTACTGAAATTGACTCCTTATTTTTTTCTAGTAAATATCTTCACATTTCATACCTTTAATCTTAGTCATTTATTTTTATTCATCCAATGGTCTTAAAGTTGTGTTAAAACTAAAAGAGTTTTACATTGTGTAATATATATATATATAGGGTTATGATTCACTTACACCATGTAAAACTCTTTTTCTTTTTAAGACTGTTGGATAAGGGAAATCAAAGGTTGAAATTAACTCCTTGTTTTTTTTCCAGTGAATATATTTTCATCTTCTACTGTTAATCTCAGTCTTTAATTTCTCTCATTCAACGATCTTAAAAAAGTGCAAAATTAAAAGAGTTTTACTAAGTGTATCATTCCCTATATATATATATATTGATTAAGCCAGAACTAGGGAGCTTTAAAAGCTTAGGCTCAACAACACAGTTTGATGAGCCCATTCCAATTGGAAAAAGAAAAAGAAAACTATAATTCCTCCTAGAAATGGACATAATGCGAAACTGATTTTATCAGGTGGTCCAAACAAAAACAAAATAAAATTCCAAAACTTTGAATTCCTTGTTTTTGAAAAATTGAAGTGGTCCATTTTAAGCCTCATTAAGGCATTCATGCAAAATTTGGGTATGCTAGTGGGCAATCTTGTTTAAGATTGCATGCATGGGACCATTTTTTACTACTCAGCTATATTCTTTTATAGCTTATTTCTTTCAAAATGGATATTTGAAGTATCGATTTCTATGTTGGAGACAATATTCTAACATATGATTACCGCAAAATGGAGATATTGTTATTAACGTGCATGAAGGAAGATCCTGGCATAAGATTGCCGCATATGGAGATAATGTTATTTGCATGCGTGCATGAATATCCTCTCTTACCAACAATCAGTTGATCTAGTGGAATGAGGTGTTAGAGTCCTTAAGAAAGATCATGAGTTCGAATTTTAACGATTGCGAATGGAGTAAATTGAGTTAGGAGGGTTACTCTTGCCTCTACAATACCCGATCCAAATTAATCGATTAATATATCAGATACTAATGATTATACCCAAAGATCCTCTTTTTAAAAAATATAAAGTAAAACTAAAAGTGTCGATACTCTATTGATCATGAAAGTTAGTTTAAATTTTGTATTTATAATTAATTAGTCACATCATTAGGGCTTTTTATCCAAATCCCAATAAAAATTAATATCGAAAATACCCTCCACTTGAGATTATTTATCGGATTAACACCTTTTTGTGAAAAAAATGGGTAAAAAAATATGAAAGTTTTTTCTAAATATTATCCGAAAAGAATTATGTGTGCGATACGGGTCAAAGACATATATTTACATGAGTTGAGCGGTGGCAATGATGCATATGTATTCAGGGATGGACCTCACCTTAAATCTAAAAATTATCATATATTTTAGATTTTTATATGTATTTTCTATTGAAAATTTCTTTTCGGCCCTAAAATTTTATAAGTTATTCTATTCCTAAAATTTTAAAAGTTAGCCCCTAACATAAAATCCTACGTCCGTCCTATATGTATTAACATTATTTTTAATCACTTAATAAAAAAATATGTTTAAAATGTTATACTTAAACAAAACTTCATATCTATACAATGTGAGGTTTAAGAAGTTCATGGTTAAACATACAAACTTTTGAGTTGTCAAAAATAAATCCTGAATTTAATCAGACCCATGTCAATACAATAGTCAAAGATAATTTTTGATACCAAGACCCTGAGTATTTCATTAAAAAAATAACTGACAGAGTTTAGGATTTTTTTTCAAGTGGTTAAATATATGTTTAATCATGAGTTTCTCGAATCTTATATTGTTTATGTATATGATTTTTTTCAAGTGTTCAAATATAATTGTTTAAATATACATTAATTAGTGATTGAAGATAAGACCAATGCATGTGTGTCGTCATTGTCACCTAGCTTGTACAAATATGTGTCTTCAACATGTGTTGTGTGTGTTTATTCGTTTTAGATAAAATTCATATAATTTTTTTTATTTTTGTCCCTCTTTTTTTTCTTTTTTATCTCAATATTTACAAATTTTGACCGATTTCTGTCATATCATGAGAAGTCGCTTCCTACAAACTTTCTGAAAGCACTTTTCATATGACATATCTTTATCTACGTGGTACGAAAGAGTGTCAATTCAAAAATTAATCTGAGACGATTATTATTATTTTTTATAATTTTTATGATATTTGAGTAAAAAACAAACATTTTAGTTTGATGAAAAACACAACAGAATAATTTAGAAACTAGATTAGACAAGAATGCATAAATTAAATTAAAGAAATGGACAAGGTAAGTCCATACATGCAAACAATTAAGCTTCTAGACAACAAAATTACAAGGGTGTTATCCACTAGCTTATGCAATGCAAGTCATCATGATCGCCGATCTAAAATTACATTACTTCGTTAATAGAAATGAAGCTGGTAAATGCGTGTCATATATATATATATATATACATACATATAACTGACATGGCTTCCCATTCTCCATTTTTCTGAAAATTAAAAGTAGCAATAGTATGAGGAAGACTCTGCTGATTAGCTGAATGTTTGCTGGATTTGGTGTGCGAGTTCTTCTGCACTCAGTTGGCATTCAATTCCAATCTGTTTCATCCAAAACAAAGTTAAAGTTTCAGTAAATCTCAGTAAATTTAACAAGGTTAAACCAAAAATGGAAAAAGTAAATGCAAAGACGTATGGTCATATCATGAATGCCGCAAATGACTGCAAAGATACCCTAGTTTTCAGTGATCCATCGCGATTTTCAAGACTATGGTAACTGAACTTTTTACTGTTAGTACCGTTGGCTAGTACACCAACGCCAGTCTGCACCGATTCCTTTTGAATTATTAGGTTAAAATCATTGGTTTTCTTCTCTTAATTTTACTGTGGATTATTAACTCCTAATGCTCTTCTTCAATGATGAAAGGAATCATTCGAACCCAAACATGGCCTGGTTGAAGTGCAGTAAAGAAAAAACAACAAAATCAGGAAGCAGTAGCGACAAACACACAGTACTCAAACATGTACGCCCTAATATGGATTGAAAACGAAGTTACCAACTTTTAGAAAATGAAAATTTACTATACTAGAAGTAACCAGAAGTGGTAAAGTTTTACCTTGATGGTGAAGGAATTAAGAATGGTATCATCAGTGGTGTTAATGTTGACGCTGAGGATTTCCAGTGAGAGGTCTTCAACAGCTGATATTATCTTTACAGCCTGACCGGGAATCGGAGGAGATACCGTCTTAAGAATAAGATTGGGGCCTGAAAACTTCACTTCAACATCCGCGATGTGAGACTTTGAGTTTGCAACGAGCTCGTTAACGTTGTCTAAAGAGGAAGTTGAAGAAGAAGAAGGGGAGGGTTCGAAAGAAGAAGTGGCCATGCCCGGCAACCGTGGCTTGTAAGGGCTACCTGGCTGAGGGGTTCTTGGGCTAATCGGCAAGTTAAGCCGTGGACTTAAAGGTGGTTTCCGAGGGCTGAGAGGGTAGGGTCTTGGACTTGAAACTACCCTAGGGCTTAACACTTCGTTGATGACTTTTCTTTGTTTCTTGGCCTCGAGGGATTGAAGAACTTGCTGCAACTCGTTGATGTAATCCACAGCACCCCCGATTATCGATGCTTGATCACCCTAACAAAAGAAAAAAGGTTAAAATAATGAGACGTGAAATTGATGAAGACAAAGTTGGCTTACTCTTTTCACATAGAAGCAAGGCATCAACGATCTGAGCACCGATAAGTGCTCGTTCATTTGCTTCCTCCGATTGCGTTCAACCGTGATTTGAGACATTCTTTGTTGCCCATCTGGGTTTGTTTCCTCGGAAGAAGAAAGCTTCGGCTTCTTGCTTTTGGGTTCAAGCTCAGGCTCCGATGAGTTCTGGGTCACCAAAGTCGTAGTAGTCTCTTCACCATCTTTCGGGGGGCCAGCGGCGGTCGTTTCTTCCAACGGAGTGAAGTAAAAACTCTCGAAAAAAGCAAAGAGATCATCTCCACCGGGTCCAAATTCACCTTCTCCGAACAACTCGTATAAACTATCATCCATGTGAACGTGTTCCAAAGAAATACTCTTCTTCAACTATCAGAAAACAGTGGAAACAAGACGATGAAAAGACAACACTATCAGCGTCAAGAAATCTAATTCCAAACTGAGAAACAGTAATAACAAACTCGAAAAGAGAAAATAGGATAGGAGCCCGCGGCTTTGACAGTGATAACTGATAAATAAGCTCTATAAATTAATGCTCATAATGGAAATTAATTAGAATTTGTTTCATTTTTTTTCTGTGTCAATTGTATGGGCTACCCAAAATAATGTCTACATCAGTGTTGCTTGTCACATAAGCATTTATCCCATATTTTTCAATTTTACTAATCCAACTTGGACACCAATTGTAATGTTAATTGTCGACAATCGATATTTTTTATTGTCACTTTATATTTTATTTTTTGATTTTCAATAAGTCTACCTGTATGATATGTTTTCATTTGTCATTATGACACATTTTCTTGTCTTTTAGCACGTTTTAGGTCGTTTGGCCATTGTTTTCACTTATATTTTAAGTGTTGATGTGACATCGCCACGACTGATCAAGATGACACTTATCTATTATATTATTGATATTCTCTGCTTTGGACCCTCGAATTGAATTTGCGTTCATGGATAGTTTCTGATTTGCGATTTTTCGGTGGTCTTTTAGTCGCTTGATTCTCTTTTGTAGTTTGTTTACCCAAGTTTGTTTGTTTCTATCTTTGTTCAAATTTATTGGTTAGGTTTTAATCTTTCCTTGTATAGTCTTTATGTGATCTTAAGTTGCTAGTTTTGTTTCAATGATTATAAAAAATTTCCTAATTATATACTTAATTTACGATTATGATTTTAAATCTTTATTGTAATTGGGATATTTATTATTTTGAATAAAATTAAAAACTTTTATAAAAAAAATAAGAAGAAGAATAAATTGTAGACAAGAGTTTTAGGTGAGCTTTTATTTTTCATATTTTCCAAAATACTTTATAGTTTAAATCATGAAACAAAAATGATAAATTCTCGAGATTAATAGGATCTCAAACATCGATAACAATTGTGAGTTCACCTCAAAGCCGATTAATGAAGCTAGATAGTTTAAGCGTGAATCAACTTATTTTAGTGGTTAAAAGAATTATTATTATTCTTAGAGATCATGAGTTCGAACACCAGCAACTGTAGCAGGGTGATTGAACGTTTATTGTCAAATAATTAAGATTATTTATAATATATATTATTTTATAATCACCTTAGTTTAATAAAGAAAATATAACAAATTTAGTCTAAGCTTAGATGATGATGATGGTGAATTAAAAATAACTTTAATGATGGTAATATTTTAAAAAAAATTGAATAGAAGTCGTTAATTTTATTAGAAATATGAAATATTCACAATTGCAATAAATGGTTACGATCATAAACATAAATTAATTATATAATTATGATATTTTCCTATAATTATTAAAACAAAAATTAGTTATTTAAGATCACACAAGGACCATACAAGGAAAAAGTTAAAAAACCTATCCAAGAAACTTGAACAAAATATAGATATGGATAGATCTGTTCGCATCGACAAACAAACCCGTAAAGAAGATAAAGCTACTGAAAGGTCGTCGATAAATCGTAAATAACAACCGAGCGAAGTAAAAAAAAATATTCACGAACACAAATTACGTATCCAAATTCAATTTAAGGGTCAAAAATAGGAAATATCAACATGATAACAAATAAGCGACATCTTAATCACTCGTGGCGATTTCAAATCCAATTACAAGAGAAGATAAACTAAAATACCAGTCAAATGACCGAAAATATACCATAAAAATAGAGATAAACGTGTCATGAAAGCAGAGAAAATCGTGCCATAAAGATAAAACTCTAAAAATTTTAAAATTATTTAAAATTGTTCTTCTAATGATTTCTGTTCAATTAGACATCAAAGAGAAACAGCCTTGCTATTTGAGCTTTAAAAATTGAACACAAAGATAGAAGTTAGGTAAAAGAGTAGGGGATGCTTTGTTCATTTCATAGTGCAAGCCCCCCCATGAATAATATTTCAGAGAAACAGCCTTTATATTTGAAGTCTCTTCCTTACACATTGATTACTTAAGTAAGAGCCGTCATTCCCTGTTGATGACTTCCCTCACCTTTACGTTATCCTTCCTTCTTTTTAGGGGGCAAAAACACTCGCCTACGTTTCTTGTTTTTTTTATTCTGATGAAATACTATTCCAAACATATTGTTGGCTTACATTCAAATTTTTTTCACGAACTAAATTATTTCAGTAGTTAAAGAAATTATTGTTATTTCTAAGATTTGGGATTTGAGCACTAGTAACTACAGCAAGCAGGAATTGTTAGTTCGAGAGAATAAAATTAGGTCAAAAAGACAATAGAAGACCTTGTACTATTGAAAAAATCAATGTAACACTCGTATTATGTTTTTTTTCAATTTGACCCTTTAACTCAAAAAACAAACTTAATTTGCCCCTTTGACCAACGTGTCAATTCATAGTGGTGACATGGTGGTTCAAATGCTAACGTGACAGTCCATCTGTTTTGTTTGAGTTACCAATTTAGCATATCTGTCGTGTCATCTTTCACATTATCAATCATCGTGGACTACCACGTCGGCATCGTAGACTGTCACGTCAGTACAGTGAACTATCACGTCAACACCGTAACGATCAGCGACGAATAACATTGATCAAAAGATCACATTGAATTAATTTTATGAGTTGAAATATCACATAAAGAGAAAAAGTAAACATATAGATAATATATGATGATTTATTAAAGTATTTTTTTAAAGTACATATACATCAAATGTATTTTTAACTAAAATCAATGGCTAGTCTCATGGTTACATGTAGAAAATATATGACGATTTATTACAGCATTGAAAACACGACAAAGTGAACCTACGCGTAAACAAGACAAGACTTAATATATAGACAGACGGAGAGAGAGAGAGGCGTAAATGTGGACGAAGAGTAGTAGGCAAAGGTCTGCAAGTACTTTAGTTTCGGTAAGAGTTTAGGGTTTTTTAATAATTAAATGTCGGCTTAGAAAGTGCATGCACGGCATTTTCGTGCCTTCACTAATCTTCATTTTGATGTTCTTGTTTAATTTATTTGGTTTTTATTATTTTATTACAACTTTACTAATTAATTAATTAATTAATTTGTTATAAAAATTGGGGATGAGATTGAATTTGAGATGACAGTGCAGCCAACCAAGAGTGAGAAAGGGATTGAAGGAAAGTGGCAGAGCAGAGGCAGGAGAGTTATTGCATGCTCTCAGTGCGTTTCATTTAAGTTTTAGGGTAAAGTATGCAAATGGTCCATCGATTATAAGATATTATTTTATTAAGTCACTCGATTATTAAAAGTTATAAAACGTTCATTTGATTATAAGTTACTTTATTAAGTCCCTTGATTATTAAAAGTTATAAAACGATACATTGAATTAGTAATTTATTTGTTCGGTTTTGTATACATTTATTTTCCCTTGATGTTTATCCATCGTAATTATTACAGCATCCATCAATTTTTCTCATTTACCATTCTCAACAACCGCCCACCCTACTTCTTTCTCTTTCGATTTTAAAATAACAAGGGTTATATGCATGATGGATCATTTATATATGTGCGTTGTCCATTTATTTTTATTGATTTCGAAAAATATAATTTATGATCACTTTTATTTTTATTTAGTTAATATACGGTTACTACGAGTTAACTGTCATTAAATATTTTAGTACAATCACATATTTAATTCATGTTGTTTATATATTCTCTCAATTTAATCATACTTTTAATAAATTAAAATAAATGTTTTAGTTCTCAATGGGCTTTAGTGTGTTATCAAGCCGAATCATATTGTGAATCATACAAGTTCAAGCAATGGTTTGACAAGAGATCTTACCAAGTAATTCTATGCATCATTCAATGGATTGGTGAGCATTTAGAATGGGTATTGACGAGTACTTTGGTGTTTCCTTTTATTAGGAGTGATATTTGCAAGGTTAGGGTTTTATTTGTTGTGTGCTTCTGTAGGAGAGAATGTACTCTTTTTCTCCATTTAGGCGTAGGGAGGTTTTTGACGAGTCACTCTCCTTCGACTTTGCTTTATGATTATTTTAATAAAATTATATTTGTCAACAAAAAATTTTTAGTCCCGCAATTGAATGATCTCACGTGTCAATGATACCACGTGTTGTGTCACATGCCATCATTCATAATATGTTATATATATTAATTTTAAGAAATATTTTTATATTAACATATTAAATATATTTTATTATTAATTTAATTTAAAATTATTATAAATTAAAAAAAGTTAGTCCTCCTATCGCATGGTGACATGTGGTACTAATGACACATGGCATCATTCGATTGGAGGATCAAATTTATTTTAATTTATTAAAAGTATGACTAAATTGAGATAATATCTAAATAACAATGATCAAATGTTTGATTATACCAAAATACTAAATCATCTAATTGTCAACGACAATTAGCCCATGGTGATCACATCTTAATTAAATAAAAACAAAAGTGGTCATATATTATATTTTGAGCAAATAATGGAATAGTCTCCTTTGTTTTCAGTCTGGTCGATTTTGGTCACCAATTTAAAAATTAAGGGTGCATGGTCCCTAACGTTATCATTCATTCGATTTTAGTCCATAACTTTATCGATCCGTTCAATTTTAGTCCCTCGGCTGTTAATTCCCGTTAATTGATATATGTCGAACTATTATCATGTTGGGGATGCATAAGATGTCTTCAAATTCCATCTTTGGTGCCATGGACCAAAAGCTGATGCATCAAACTGGCTAGCCAATGGCATCAAATTAGCTGGTATATTCAATGTGAATTCAGCTTCGTTTCCCCTAATAACATGCATGCGCATATAGTTATTGCAAATGAAAACCCTATATATAATAATAAAAATGGAGGAATGTGGGACAAAATTCTAAATCAAAAGTTCCTTACAAAGTAAAATAAATAA